TTTCCTTGGACTAGTTTCCAGGAATGGAGTTGCTGAATCCTGTAGTAGTCACATTTTTAATTTTTCGAGGAACCTTTGTAATGGCTGGACTAACCTACATTCCCACCAGCGATGTGCAGGAGTTCTGTTTTCTCTGCTTCTTTGCCAACACTTAATGCTTGTGTTTTTGATAGTAGCCATCCTAATAGGTATATACACTCACTGTGTATTTCCCTGATAATTATTGAGGTTGAATATTTTTGCTGTTAACTGTTAACCTGTTAACTGTTTGGATGTCTTCTTTGAGAAATGTTTATGCAGATCCGTTACTCATTTTTAAAAATTGGGTTCCTTTCTTGGTGTTGAGCTGAGTTCTCTATATGTTTTGGATATTAATCCCCTAGCAGATACATGGATTGCAAATATCTTTTCCCATTCTGTAAGTTGCCTTTTTATTCTGCTGATGTGTCCTTTGCTGTACATAACTTTTGTAGTTTGATCAGTTCCCATTTAATGACCTTTTGCTCTTGTTCCCTGTTCTTGTAGTTCTTTCTAAAAAGTTTTTGCTGGCTGGGTATGGTGGCACATGCCTGTAATCCCAGCACTTGGAAGACAGAGGCAGGGGGATTACCCTGAGTTTGAGGCCAGCCTGAGCTATGTATTGGGTTCAAAACCAGCCTGGACTACACGAGATCCTGTCTCAAAAAAAAAAAAAAGTATTATTCCAGGCCTTATCTGTAAAGGTTTTCTAGTAACTTAGGTGTGTATACCATGTTTTTTGCTTTTGAGATATATATATATATATATATATATATATATATATATATACACATACACACACACATATACATAAATACATACTAGGATCATAAAACCTTGAGTTTTTCTAGTTTTCTTTGTATCTAGGTTTGTTGCTTTATTCTTTCCCTTTTTCCTTCTGTCCTTGAGGTGGCAACTTTGAGCACCTTATTGATTCCTGATATGGTGCTAGATGATAGAGGTATGAAGATTGTAGGGGATAATTCCTGCCAATAGGGAGCCCAGGGATGCAGTGCACTGGCAGAGTGCAGAAGGGTTGAAGAACAGGCAGCTGCTGGCAGAGTAAGCCAAGAAAGCCTTTTCAAATATATGTTACCATGTGGGTAGATGAGAGGAGCAAAAAGGTGAATGTCACGTAGCTGCATCAGTCCTCTGTTGATCTTCTGACAGTGGGTTGGAAGCTCTGTGAGATCTGGGATCAGACTGCTGAGGAGGGACCAGGTGCTCAAGGGTGGCTGGGTGGATGGATAGATGGAAAGACAGGTGAATGTTGATACTGCAACATTAGTGAAAGGATCCCTGAAAACAGAACAGGAAAGAACCAAGTAACAAGGCTTCTGGCCTCTCCCACCCACATACACAGTTTACTGGTCTGGAAATGGAACCTGGTTTAGCAGTGGTTGGCCTAGAAATAGTCCTGCTGGCGAAATTCCAGTTTAAAGCAATGACATAGGTTTCTGAATTAGACTTGAGTCTTTATTTCTCTGGTGACTCAGGGGCTTACAGGGTCCAAATTATGAGGGCCTCTGGTGGTGGTTTTCTGAAGGGATTTTGACTGGCCCCACCACTTAGAACCTTCTCCCTGTGAGAAGAAACTTGCAGGGCTGAGTAGCGGAGCGGCACAGATCTGGCTCTGCCCAGTGAGTGGAGGACGATGGGCACCATTCTGTTTAGCCTTGGGGTAGCGGGCTTTTAAGATGTAGCCCGTGCCCAGGTTTTGTATAGAAGGGACCTCATTTCTTGTCAGTGTGGAGGGTCCTTCCATGCTCCTTCTTCAAGCACCCCACTTCCTTTGTCCTTACTATTGCTTCTTCCTGTGTGCACGCCTCTGTCTTGGCCGCACACCTCATTGTCTTGCTTGCGGAATCTCACGTGAGTCCTTCTCTGCTCTGCACATTGCTACCTGGTCCAGTTAGAGGCTTCTCAATCTTGCTGGCTTCCTTTGCAAATGAACTTGACTTTCTCTTTTTAAATGAACAGACTTTTTAATAAAACAATTAATTATCCCACTTCCCATGATGGTTGTTTTGCAAAAAAATTTTAAAGCACTATATTTGTTTAACATAGAGGTACACTTACCTTATAAGAGTCCTTTTTAATGTCAGGATTGAAGACCAAGATGACATTAGTTTCTGGCAAAGTGGTCTGTTGTGTTGTGCAGGCTGTGACTGTTCAATTAGCCTCATGGTAGAATCTCTGTAATAATCCCGGGAAAGCAAAAGTATACTTCTTACAATCAATTCTATCAAGTCATTTACTATAAAGATTTTTGAAGGAGACAGTCTTTAAAAAAGGACAACGAGGAGGATAAACAACAAAATCTCAGACCATTCTGTTATACTAATGACCTTGTGTTATTGTGGCAATGTTACTTACAATAAAAATCAGAGAAGAAAACAGGTTGTGTTTGATGGTGAACTCCTTGTTGTAGGCCTTGTGTTTCTGCACTGAAGTGTAGTGTGTCTTGACATAAGGATGTAAGTGCTATGAATATTGATGGCAGCAAAAGCCTTTTTTTCCTGTCTGGCCTAGTAAATAAAGCAGAAAGTATAAAAGAGGAAGAGGACTTGTAAAATCAGTATGCCATTTTTAGATTATCTTGTTCCATTAGAATTCCAAGTCTCAAAAACACTGATGCTGTACATTTAGTGGTCTGGGTCTGATTTGAGCACAGTGGGTTGGTATTTTCAGGGATTTTGCTTCTTGTTGAAGTAACAATCTCTTTTCTTATTTCTTTTTTTTTTTTTCTTTTAGCTTTCAGAGGTAATGTTCCTGCCTATTGGAATATTTCTGGATCTGTCCCTTTCACTCAGCAGTAAAATTGGGTCCTGTTGTTCAGTGTAATTGTCTAGTGTGACATGGTGTGCTTCCTCACATAAAGTACACTGGTTGCAAAACAAGGACAGTCTTGTAGGTCTGCCTGTGGCCTGAGAGTGTGTCTGTGGCGCTCTGGGAGCACCTCCTAAAGCTCTTGAACCCAGAAGACAGGGTTCTGTGAAGTGATACTGGGGGTACTGGGGCGGAATGTGGAAGTGCAGGTGTAGGGGACAGGAAGAGCCCCTCCAAGAATGTGACCTGTTCGAAGGTCCAGAGAACTCATGAGCTAAGAGGTTGGGAATGAGCTAGGTTTTTTACATTGTAAATGTCCTGACTCTGGATAACACAAACCAAAATAGAATTTATCAGACTGTGGTGGTGGTGTCCTGGAGTTCAGAGGAAGCTCTGAGGGCAGGTTTAGAAATGACAGGGACCATGATCACTGTGGGGCAGTGAAGGAAGAATTGATAAACTGGCGTTTACATAACCAGCGGGGGATTGAAAGCAGGGTGACTTCTGGATGCACAGCTGTGATTTGGATGGTTCCCTTGGTGGCCGTGAGGGAGTATACTGGTGGCAAGTCATGGGGAAGTCCTACGGGGAGAGGGGGCAGTCAGAGACAGAGGGTGGTACCCCTGCAGCAGATAGCTAGAGCAGGGCCAGCTTGGGCGGAGTTCTCATTTAAGCATAAAGGAGCACAGGGGTTACTGCAAGCAAATATATATATTTGGTGAAAAACTTTTAGGGACCAAGCCTATGAGAATCTTCCTGAAATGTTTTAAAAGATGATTTTAAGAATAAAAAGTTTCAAAAGCTTAAATGTTCTTTTAAAAACATACACATTTGCATTTATAAAAATATGTCTGCAATAGTGTCACATAAAGCACAACAAAGTTCTCACCCCAGTCAGTTGTGAAAAGGAAGGATGAGTGGGGAGTGGATAAGACCTTGGCCAAGGGTAGAGATGGAGGGGCCTTGTCAGCAGCTTGTCTTGTGATTTCAGACGTCCTCTGTATATGCTTGAAACCTTCATGTCTACTACCAGATTAAACCTTTTGAGAACTGTGACCAGGGTTGGAGATGTTTTGCTAATCTCCACTTTTGGTACAGAGCCCATCATGCAGAAGAGGTGCTTCCTGAGTATGTTCCTGCATCAGATTTATTTTGATCTCTTTTGCTAGGCATATTATTAAGTGAATTCCACGAGCTCTAGTTCACTAAGCATCATGGCCCAAAGATAGCATGAGTACTCCATAGACCAGATTGAAGAGTTCTAAGGTTTTTTTTGTTTCACTATTAGGTAGTTTCTTAGCAGGAAATGCCTGTTGGTTCAGATTTCTATTGAAACTAGGCCCATAGAAAGAAATATTTATAAAAGAGAAAAGAGTCAAAATGTTTAGACCTACCCCTTGAGGTGTTTTCCTCAGCTCGTGGACCCCTGTGGATTGGACCTGGAAAGGTTCTGTGTTTTCCAGCCCTGGGGTGGGTGCACAGTAGTCAGGTGGGAATGCTGAGCCCTGGGCAAGTGCCTGGTGGCCTGGCAGCAGTGTTGCCCAGAAGGAGGGGTATGCCAGTAAATCAGGCAGTGTGTTTGCCATCCAAATTCACTCCCTTTAACTCTGGAGATGAGGACACTTATGTCTAGAGGCGGGGAAGGACTTGTCCAAGGTCGCCCTGCTACTTCGTGACAAAGCTGACTTACAAATCAGATGTAAACCCAAGAGGAAATAGGGATCAAAACAGACATATCTTTATTTCTTCCAGAGGACATTCTGTTCAAACCTGCTGGTGTCATCTTTACTTGCACCTTTGTGCTTTTCTAGGCCTGAATTGGCGGTCTCGGGAGAAAAACATGCTGCGTTTGGCAAATAACAAACATGCCTGTTCTGTTCTAGGCAGCCTCATGGCACACACATCAGGGCAGGTGGCAAAATGCAATCATGCAGCCTGGAATGAAAAGCGTTTTACACGTAGCTGCTTATGATGAATTCAGTGTTAAAATTAAAATGCTTTCCTGGCCCAGGTGCAGTGTAATCATTCCATTTCTCATAATAAAACTTTGGAGAAAAGTGCTTTATCTCTGAAATGTCAATTCTAATCACTGGTTTGTTTTTCTTTTCTTCTTTTCTTTTCTCTTTGGTATGTTTCTTTGTTTCTCTTCACAGGAAAAAGTAGAATATGCCTTCCTGATTATTTTTACAGTCGAGACATTTTTGAAGATTATAGCATATGGATTACTGCTGCATCCAAATGCTTATGTTAGGAATGGATGGAATTTACTGGATTTTGTTATAGTAATAGTAGGGTAAGTAAGTCCTTCTTACTTCGGGAAAATGTGTATAGAAAATAAGAGGTAGAGGTTGGAGGGACAACTAACAGTCTTTTTAAGGAAGAACATTGTTTTTTATGCCAGTTATTGAACCAGGACCTACCAGGGGTTCTTTTAAGACTGCCAATGCCACTGCCAATCTCTGAGAAGAAACTGGTTTATTATTCTTTTTCAGTAATGCGTTGTGGAAGGAAATCTCAGGTCCTAATGAGAGAGTTTACCTTCCAGGGCCTGGATCTCCACAAATAGATCAGCCCTGCTAATGGTTAGAGTCAGGTGACAAGAGCTCTTAATACTTAGCACACTGGCAAGCTAACTAATGATGATGATGATGATGATGATGATGATAATAATAATAATAATTCCCTATACCACTGAGATACTCTGCTGTTTAATATCCCATGAACAAAGCTGTTTTTTCATGCTGATTTGTGGGAGAAAGTCTGGCTTGCTACTCGCTCTATTTTAAACAACAAAACAAGTGTCTGAATGATGTCACATATCTGCCATAAGTGAAATAAGCTAGAAATGCAGAGAACCAGGTGTTTTCTCAAAATCCTGTTGCAGGAAGAAGACATCAGTAGTTTTAGTTAGAGAATGTTGAAATAAAAAATAGTGGCCTGTGTTTTGCTGCTCCTTCCACACCTGGAAATGTTACTAGCAGAGAAAAATGAATTGGTATCAGAAGAGCGATGAATCTTTGCATAAAACGTCCATGTGGGGGAAATCAAGTATGTCCTTTTTTGTGTGTGAATCTTAATTACTCTACTTGTTTTATTGGTTGCTTCTAAGATTATATTTATTTCTGTAGAGAGATATTTTTAAATAGCCTCTTTTATTTTCCTTTCTATGACTTTGGTCAGCTGCCTCATGCAGTTAAACAAGGTGATTTTTCTTTCAGATTATCATTTTATCATGAATCCTTGGGGTTTTCATTTGATACTAATTCTGCTGGCTGTTGAGCAGTAGAATAAGTCTGATTGAGGTCTGTCCTTTTAATCCAGAAAATTAAAATGGGATCCAAAGTGGTGGCCCAGTGAGGTAACTAGACACATGAGGGGAACAGTTAGCTTTTGCCAAAAGCTACCATAGTACATTGGCACCTGAGGCATCACTGAGAAAGCACTGCTTATCAGTGAATAGATGGGAGATAGGCAGGAAGGGAGTTTCTTCCTTCATTTGGGGTACTCTGTCAAGGAGTGCAAAGCAGGGCTCTTGGTTCCCTAACAGTCTTGTGTGCCTGTCTTGCCATTGGAATAGGTAGGGAATGGAGGTACTTAGCTCCATTTCTTCTGTCCATGTGCTGCTGCCTGGAGACTTTGCATAGGACAGCACAGCACAGAGACAGGGAACCAAGTAAGCATACTGGTCCCCCCAAGATTAAGAGACAGAATGAAAAATTCAGTGACAGAAATTTGAGAGGCAAAATATGGGAAAAGAGGAAAATAGAGTACTTCCTGAATGTGTCTTGTGGCCTTCCAGAATTGTGGTTGATGATGTATGTGAGATATAATTCTATGAAGCCAGACAAAGAACACTATTAGAAAAAAGAAGAAAGCCTGGTGGGGGGAGTGTGTATACTGTGAATACCAGGGCTCACCTAGGGCAGAAATGTGTTCAGATCCTGACTGACCAGAATAAAAGACCTCAGTGAGCTCCTTGGACTGTCGTGGAGACTCTAGAAGGACAATTATTAATAGAGCTAATTTAGTTTTAGAGTAGGGGTCAGCAAACTATGTGGTGGCCAAAATCTAGCCCATTTAGCCTGCCATCTATTTTTACAAATAAAGTTTTATTTTAATGTAGCCTTACTCATTGCTTATGTAATCGAATAGTTTAGGTCCATAAAGCCCGAAACATTTACTGTCTGGTGTTTTATGGAAAATGTCTGCCAACCCCTGTCCTAGTGTAAAGATTTCCTGAAGCCCTTGCTAGTGTTTTTTTTAATATAAAAAAATACCCTGAAAAAGAATAAACCTACTTTGAAAATACTTCAGTGCTCTTCAGAGGAAGACGATAAAATAGAAATACTTTTATTTATTTTTTGGCACTAATTTTGGTTTAACCCAAGGCCATTGCTTAGAGCTGCAGCCTTTGCTCTTTTTAATTTTTATTTTGAGACAGAGTCTCACTGTGTTGCCAGATTTCCTAGGCTAGGCTCGAGCTGGCAGCCTTTCTGCCTCAGCCTTGCACAGTGGTGGGATTCTGGATGTGTGCCACCATGCTTGGATTTTTAGAAGGATTTTTAAAATGTTCAGCATACAGTAATACTAGACCCATAAAATAATTTTACCTATACCTAGCAAGAAATTCTGTCAATAGGAACAGAGTCAGAAATGGCAAAAATACTGCAATTGGCAGAGAAGAACTTTGTATTAGAATAAAACCTGCTATTATAAATACAAGGAATACATGACACTATAACAAAGAACCAAATGTAACTTCCAAAGGTGAAAAATATATCTAAAAAGAAAAATTTTCCTGGATTGGCTTAATACTGTGTGAGACACTATCAAGGAAAAAGTACCAGGAAACTTGAAGATACAGCAATGTAAAGAATGCTAATTAAGGAAAAAATGAATGCCACGTCCATGACCTGTGGGAATTATCAAGTGGTCTAACTGTCATATATTTGGAATGTCTCAGAAGGAAAAGAGACAGAGGAGACAGAAAAAATATATTTCAACAAATGACACCAAATTTTTCAAATGTGATGAAAAATACAAGCTTGTAAAAGGAGCTAAAACAGCCTGAGCAAAATATATGTAAAGAAAGCCATGACAAGGGACATCATAGGCATAGTCAAATTATCAGCACGCAGTGACGATGAGAAAACTTTAAAACAGAGGAAAAGCTGTCTTGGACTTCTGAGCAACTAAGCCAGCCAGCAGACAATAATGAGACATCTTTAAAATGGGGGAAAAGGGCAACCTCCAGTTGTTATTTGGTGAAATATATTCCAAGACTGAAGTTTAAAAAAAAAAAACTTCTTTGGACAAATCAGAGCTGAGAATTCATGACTGATAGACTTGGATCTCAGAGTTCAAAGGCAGTTTTGCAGGTGGAGGGAAAATAATGCCAGATAGAAATGTGAGTCCACATGAAAGAAGAATTTCACAAAGGGCAAATGCATGGCAGGTTTTTTTCTCATTTTAAAAGATCTTTAAAGGTGGTCATTTAAAGCAAAAATTAACAATGTATCGTTGGGTTTATACCTTTCCTAGAAGTAAGATATATTTCAATAATTGCAGAAAGGATTAGGATAGAGCAGTAATTTTGTTCTCTTGCCAAGTACTCATACAATAAGTAGACAGAATGATAGAATATTATTTGAAGATAGACTGTGATGAGATGTGTGTTTTAAACTCTAGAGCTTGGGTTGGCAAACCGCTACCTGTTGATCAAATCCTGCCCCCACCCTACCGTCTACTGAGAAAGTATTGTATTTGCTACCTATTTTGGTTTACAATAAAATAAAGTTTTATTATAATTCTACCACATTTACTTGTGTCCATGGCTGTTTGGGTGTTTAACAGCAAAGGTGAGATCCTATAACCTGAAATCTTAAAGTATTTACTATCTAATGTATTATAGAAGTTTTTGCTGAAACTCGCCCTAGAGTAACCACGTTCTTTTTCTAGGAGAAATATGAGAGAAAAGCTTTATGACTTCAGAGTAGGCAAGAGATTTCTCAGGCATAAAAAGCATCAACCATAAAAAATTAAAGAAAAATTTCAGTTTATCAAAATTTAAAACATTGCTTCAAAAGACAGTGTGGAGAAAAGGAAAAAATGATTCACAGATTGGGAAAAAATATTCAGCTCTAACATTTGTTGTGTTCAAAATATATGAAGAACTCCTACAATCCAACAGTAAGCAGACAACCTAGTATACAATGGACAAAAGACTTGAACGTACCCCTTCACGAAAACATATCTGTGAACGGCCGGCAAACCTGTGAAGGGGAGGTGAACACTGCCGGTGATTAGAGAAGTGTCCACATCTCAGATGTCCATATCGCATACCTACTAGAATCACTAAATGTAAAAAACCCAAAAATATCAAATGTTAACTAACGTAAGAGCAACTGGAACTCTCCTCTACCACTTCTGGAAATGGAAAGTGATAAAACAACTTTGGAAAAAATTTGCAACTTGTTAAAAATGTTAAAACAACTTACCATATGACTATGTTACCAGTTATTTTGAAGTGTTTACCCAAGGTAAATAAAAATACATGTGCACAGAAGGGCTTTGCTCAGGAGAAAAACAGAATAACCCAGATGACCTCACAGCAGGTGGAATGGATAAATACATTTGGCACATTTATATAATGGAGTATTACTTAACCCCAAAGAGAAAACAAACCAGTAAATGTAACAACTTTGATGAACGTCAGAAATATGTCAAGCAAAAGATGATAAGCAAGAAGAACATATGACATGGTTCTATTTATGTAGGTTCTAAAAGAGGAAAAGAATGCCGCCTGGATAAACAGCCTATCAGTGGGGACTTGAAGGAGAGCTCAGAGAGAAGATGACTGCACAGGGGCAGAAGAGAATAGTCAGGAAACACCTGTGTCCCCTTCATTGTGGTGTTTGTTACTTAAACCTACAAATTTGCAAAACTCACTTATGGTACATGTTAAATGGGTGCCTTTTATTATATGTAAATTAAACTGCAATAAAGCTGATTTTAAGAGTAAAAGAACCATCTAGGAAACTAAAATATTGTGCTTATTGGTCCTTTCTCAGTAAGTTTGAAAAACTTTATATATAACATTATTCTTCATCTAAAATAGGCACTAAATTATGATCAGAGAAAGAACAGGAGAAAAGTTGTATAAAAGAAAAAGACAAATTGTGATGTCTTCATTTGAATCAAATTCCTGCTCACTGAAGTTTCCAGCTGTAGTCTGTGTCTCGATCCAGTGGATTTTCTCTTCCAAGTTCACAGTGACCTGTTTGTTTTATGAGAATTCCCATTATCAGAGACATTAAGAAACTAATGGAAATTTCTAGATATTAACTGTTAGTAACGTGACCACAAGAGGACTCAATGGGTCTACCAGAGCTGAAGTTACTCCCTGTAAAGAAAAGTGTGGTGTGAGCCAACTTTTACCCTACTCCCCTGGTTTCTCAAGAAAGAAACATTTCAAATATTCAGACAGCCTCATTATTTAAGGTTTTGTGAAGAAGACCATGGAGTCTTCTTCCTCATGCTTCTGACTTTTATTAATTTAGGCAGCTGCTTGCTTTTCTTTCCTGTCTAGGATAAACTTTTAACAACAACCTAGGGCCAAATATTGCTTTTTTTCAGGCACATGATACTTCTTTGGGCAGAGGTGGTGGTAAGGGAATAGAACCACGGAATATAAAATAGGAAGGAGGGTCTGGGTCCCTAATCCAATTTCCCATTTCATAGACAGAGAAACTGGGACCCAGAGAAGAGGGCCTTTCTTAATGCCTCAAAATTGTTAGGTATGCATACAACCTGGGATGTGAGCTATCTTTTCTCTCTGACTCAGACTCTTCTGCACTAAGAGAGAGAAAGAGACATTATTCACCTGTTTTCAAGGACATTGATGAAGGATAGAGAATGAAAGTACTGTGAAGTGAACGTCGCAAAACATTGGTGCTTGAAAGTGATCTTAAGTCACCACCTGCATAAATTACTTTCCTAATGCTTTGGGATGAAAATTCCTGTGGCTTCCATGTTTCAGAAGAGTTTGAGGTTTCCTTCTTCCTTCCACTTTGTTTTTGTGAAGCTATGAACTTGTTTTGGAGGAGAGCCTTTTAACTTTAGCCTTGCTGCAGGGGTTTACAATAACTTTTTAAAATTACGTTAATGAGAAATTTGTCATAAAGTTGGTCTGTTTCCCTAGCGATGGCTAGGAAGAGCCCACCTCTGAAGCTTTGGAAAGATAGAGACCTGGCTTGTTTCCCCTCCTCGATGGATTCGTTGCCAGTTGTGGTACTGTTATTAAAACAAAGATTTGGTCCATAAATGCGCCCTAAATGACAGGGCTGTGCCCAATCAGGACTGCAATCAGACCACCCTGTTTTTCATGGACTTCGCGTCTTTAGTGATCCAGCAGCCTGCCAGTGAGGGCAGAATTTCCGCTTTGGCTGTTAATTAACCTTTGGGAACCTTTTCTTTGTTGCTAGGCCAATCATTCCTGCAATCTGATTGGCCAGAGTTGATGCTATTTGCAGTGGGCAATTTTATATTTATATTCTGAAAAGTGAGCAACAGTTGCGAAGAATAAATATTTATTTGAAAGAACAAAAGTAGCTGTTAAGTGAGCAGATTGCCTGAAAATAGCTTTATCCAAAAAACCTTCCAAGAGTGGGGAAAAAACTTACCATGGCTGCCAGATACAATATTATTCACATTTCAGCAGGAAAAATGACAATATTAATACCTTCCCTTAGGGCTTTTAGCCTTAGCCTGTGCATAGCTCCTGTCTATGATCTGTGTCATTCCCCAAATACCTCCGTGAGGGTGCAGGGGTGTGTGGGTGCGAGTGTGCACGTGAATGGCCACACCGGATGCAATATAACACATTAAGTTGTGGGATGTTTAGGTCACTTATTGACTTCATCAGCTATTTTTGAGCAGTTTCTATGTGTCAAGAACTGTTTTAGACACTAAGCTCAACAAAGCAAACAAATGAAACTCCCTGCCCTGTACAGAACTACAGTGTAGGGGGGCAGATGATCTGTATTCAGATGTTCGTTCTGCCCCTACTTGATGACTTTGAGCAGAATGTTTGTTCCCATCATCCTGTTTCCATGTGTCTAAAGCAGTGTTAGTGATTCTTGTGCAGAGCATGTGTGTAGGGATTAGCAAGGTAAAGTGTGTAAGGTGCTAGTACACAGTGAGCACTCAACACGGAACCACCAAGGACACTGTTCTTGGTCCAGCTTGGGGCAGCCCCCTGGTCATCACTGTATCCCTGGGTCCCTGCCTAGGCAGGGAAGCGCTGCACACAGCTGCTTCATTGTTCTGGAAGTAGATTATCCCCTGTCTCAAATCATGTTAGACAGAGGGATCGGGTTCAGATTCCATAGCTGGGGCCTTGCTTTTGCTTTGCCTGCAGTTTAGGCAGCAGCCTTACAGAATTAGCCCTTGTTCAAAAATAACTGCTATTATCATCCTGTGTTTGCTTCCCTGGGTGGCAGACTCTTAACATTTTTTTCTTTTTCTTTCAGATTATTTAGTGTAATTTTGGAACAATTAACCAAAGAAACAGAAGGCGGGAACCACTCTAGCGGCAAATCAGGAGGCTTTGATGTCAAAGCCCTCCGTGCCTTTCGAGTGTTACGACCACTTCGACTAGTATCAGGAGTGCCCAGTAAGCATTTTTTGTTTCCCAGAGCCAGGAGTGTGCTGATGCTTTTCTTCTGGGTGGGTCTTAGTGGTAGGAAACAGGGTTTCCTGAGGTGAGTTGCTGCTCGCCTGTCAGTGGCCCAGCAGCCGATCCTGCGGGCTCTTACAGCAGGCAGAATGCTTTGGCTTACCCTGTCACTTTGGAGCTCCAGGATAGCCCCAAAAGGAGGACAAGTGGTGATTATTGTCATTCCAGTGTGGAAGAAGAGTCTTCTCTTGCAGAGAGGCTGGGTGGTGATGGCCATAGACCTTGGGTTCAGGCCTCCTGATTCTAGTCTGGTTTTCTTCTCTGACACTACACTGCTATCATTTTCCTGCTCCCGGGCCTGCCACTTGGAAAGTGGTGGATGACACAGAGGATAATGTTGGAGAGTTCAGCTCATGGCATGTTTTCAGAGTGCGTAGTCACAGGGACCTAGACTTCTGGAAACTCTTGAGTAATTCCTCCTCTATTTGGAATTGTTCCTGTCCAACCCAGAGGGAAGAGACAGATGCTTCAGCTTCCTCACCTGTGTATACATAGCACAGCAGTACCTGCCTTGGAGGTGGCTGTGAGGACCTAATGAAAGAATAGAGGCAGATACAGGATGTAGACCCCAGAGGAGTCTCGCAGGTGTTTTGCGTTGGGCCTACAGTACCTGTCAGTGCCAGCCTCAGCCAGGTTGAGTAAGACCTAAATTGGAATAGATGCCCTGTCTGGTGGCTGGCAAGTGCAGGATTCCTGTGCTTCCTCACTGGCTCTGTCCCCAGTGTGTCTCCCGATGTTGGGGACTTCAGAGGGCAGAAGTCCTTTACCTTTCCTAGATGGTTGCCTGCTCAGAGCTGAAAGAAAGGTCCAGGACTAATGCAGGGTGTGTCTGTTTTCTACAAGTCATAAATCCAGAAGATCATAGGTGTTTCGTTTTATTTTGTTTTTTTGGCCTTTCCAGAAGTTCTTCATGAAATTTCATTAATCCTGTTGGCACTTCGAATACACCAACAACCTTCCGTGAGGAAAGGAAAAAAAAACCCCTCATTTCCAAATTTAACATTTAAAATGTAGGAAGTGGTGTTTTATGTGTGCTTGTTTTTCCAGATGGTTCATTTATTTTCATTGAAAAAGATAGCAGAAGTCAAAACCACAGAACTGTCTGGAAGCAATTGAGAAAATGGAAATACCTTGGAAATGACTGACTTGGTTGAGTGAAAGATGGTTAAATGAAAAGTTCAGTGAGCAGAGATCTTTCAGATTTAGTTGCTATAGCTTAATCTAATTTCAGAGTAACCGCAATAGCCTTTCCCCCACGAAGAGCAAATGACAGGACCGCTGGCTCGTGGAATGTGCTGCATGCAGACCCATGGGGCTGTGGTTCATGCTTTGTGAGGGTCTCCTGCCAGTGAAGACTTCTGACCTGGTGTAGCAGTGTGTCGGCCACTTGGGTGATGGCTCGCATCTCTGGAGAATCGTTTTGAACTGTATTACTTCCTTTCCCCCTGAAGTTAGCAGAAATCCACAACTCACTCTCCTACAAGTCAAGAGGGAAAAATGGGGGACTTGGTCTTATATGGAGGCTTTTAAGCCCAGATTTTAACTGCTCACATGAGAAACTCAATCCTTTTATCAAACTCAAATGGATTTTGGGAGAAGTGATCAGGGCTTTTGGCCATGCTCATTCTAGGGCTGGTTGGTTTCTTCTTCATTACAAGCAAACAGTGAAAATGCCCAGAACTATTTAACTATTGATATTTATCTGAGAATCGTCTACTCCCTTTTAATGATATTTCTGACCGTTTTATAAGTCATGATTTGTGTGTGTGTGTGTGTTGTGTGTGTGTAGGGGGTCATCATTCAGTGACAGGTAAACTTTATTTCAAAAAGAGATAAATCAGACATTTATGCAGTTCTTGACCACCTGTATTCAGTTAGCTGATAAGTATTTATGAGAGTGAAAGATCAGCCAAATGGGAAAGATTCCTAAAGATCTTCTGGCCTGTCTGCATCTTCTTTTAGTTGATCAGATTGAAACCTGTTAAAAGGCAGTGACTTTGCAGGTTCTGGTGGACAGCTACACAGAACCAGACCAAGTGCCCTGATTCCCAGGCTGGTGTTCTTCCCACTCCTTTCCATCATCCCCAGTGAGTATTCTGGGATGTCTGTTGTATATCACACAAGAGCCAGAGCCAAATGTATTGAAAGTTCACATCAAGATGCAACTTTTTTATCTCCTAAATTTGATCAATCTGAAATACACCAGTTCCACTAAACATAAAAGTATTCATAAGGCTTATGGGTCACTGCCATAGAATTTAAGAGCTAACTTCTGAGTGATTTGGAATAGCCCATATTTGTCTCAAAACAAAAATAGATAAAATAAAATACACCCCAAAATAACAAACCTGTCCAAATAGATCAGAGTCACTGTTTATTCTTTTCCCTTCCCTTCATTCCTTTTGGGAGGCAAAAATATTAAAAGTTATCCTATTGGTACATTTTTTTCTCCAAAAGAAACCATTTAAACATTTAAAGGTAAAGCACAGCTGACATTTTGGTTGCAATGAAGCTTTTTTAGAAAAATAGAGTCACCAAGAAGCATGGGGTGAGGGTTTGGGATTAGGATTGGGGTCGGGATTAGAGTTCAGGTCTCTTCCTTGGCAGTGGTCCCTGCACCCTGGCTATGAATAGTTAGTCTCTTGCCTCTCAAGCCCACTTTTCAGTTGCAGGCTACTTATTCTTCAGTGTTTTGTCAGGCATTCAGATTCCACGGGTTTGAAGTTGCCCTCACCTCTCTGCCCTCCCTATCTACCTCCCTTGTTCTGAAGAACCTCCTTTTAAAACACTCAGGTTTGTGAAGGCACAGGGATTTGGCCCTCGTACTCTGGCCCCACGCATTTGGGTGCTCATCTTCCTAACAGTCCAATCCGTGGTTGACTTCTGGCCTCGTTGTGATCCTCGTTCTCCCCAACCTGAGGAGCCCCTACAGTCTTGAACTGCTTCGTTGGTTGTCTTGCCTAGGACCATGCTATTTGTTTTTCTACAATAGCTGCCTTTTGCTGATAGACTATAAAGTCTGGTTCTGTGACCCAAATTCAAGTCCCAAAATGATATGGCTACAATCTGCTTTCCTTTCCTGATATTCCTTTTTACTGTATGACACCGGTCAAGGGTCACCCTGAAACTCGTATTGTGCTCTCTTACTTCTGTCTGTTGGTGCTGGGTAGTCTTTCATCTCTACCTGTGGAAGCCCATCTACCCAGTCTTTTGGCCCTGCCTGGGCTTTAGCCTCGTCTTTCCTCACCCGCCTTTCATCCCTCATTAGTGTAACCAGTGTCACTCATGTATCATCTGTGTGCTACCTAAAGTAAAGATATTGGTGTTAAATTCTTAGTTTCTTTCTAGAACATAGCTTCTTTGAGAAAGACACTTTACGTAATACATCTACATGTTGCCCAAAGCACTAATCCTTATGATTTACACACTGTAGATGGTCGAGGGGCTTGGTTGAATAGATAAAAGATATTTAAGTGAGTGAATGAATAACTTTGCTTTTGGCCTGTCTTTCGGTTTAGTTTCTCTTGTAAGTCCATTTGATTGGATGCTATTTACGGTTTCTTTTTAGCTTATCTCACATTAGTTGTAACATTAACTCCTTTGAAATATTTTTTTGAGTCTGTTTATTATATGTCATAAATAGGACAATACTATTAGGAGTCATCTAGTCCTCATTTGACATGTCTTCCTGGCTCACAAATGTGTTTTTCTCTTTCCTAGGTTTACAAGTTGTCCTGAACTCCATAATAAAAGCCATGGTTCCCCTCCTTCACATAGCCCTTTTGGTATTATTTGTAATCATAATCTATGCTATTATAGGATTGGAACTTTTTATTGGAAAAATGCACAAAACATGTTTTTTTGCTGATTCAGGTGAGTAATGAAAATGGTAACTAACTTAACTTTAAAATTTTTTGGTCTTCCCAAAAACAACTTTTCTGGTTTTGGGGGAAAAAAAATCTTAAAAAAAAAAATGCCAACTACCTGTATGGCAGCAGGTAGTTTGAAGCAGCAATTAGTGTGAGTGCTACTCAGAATCAATTCGAATGCACTTTCTCCTTTTCCATCCTGGTTTTGTGTGTAATGCATCGCAGCAAACAGGATGAGGGCCCTCCATGAGCCAAACGATTGACACTGTGTTCTGGAGTGTGTGGAAGGCACTGTAAGAGTGAGCAGAGAGCAGTGGACGGTGACTGGGAAATGGCAGAGCCCATGAGGGAGGAAGGACTTGAAGCAAATCCTAAATGGCAGGATTCTGAGATGGCATGGATGGGAGACCAGATATTCTGTGCTTGAGCGAGGACATTGAGCTTTGCCAGGCTGGGTGACCTAATGTTCCTTTCCTGAGTGCTGCAGCCTGCTTCCTGTGTTCACAGATATCGTAGCTGAAGAGGACCCAGCTCCATGTGCGTTCTCAGGGAATGGACGCCAGTGTACTGCCAATGGCACAGAATGTCGGAGTGGCTGGGTTGGCCCAAATGGAGGCATCACCAACTTTGATAACTTTGCCTTTGCCATGCTCACTGTGTTTCAGTGCATCACCATGGAGGGCTGGACGGATGTGCTCTACTGGGTAAGCAGCTTGAGGAAAGAGTCCAAAGCATGTTCTTTCCTGGGGTAAAAATTGTGCAGTAGTGAAACTATTGAAGAAACCTGACAGCTAGTTCTTCGGGGAAGGAAGTGGACCCTGTCTTCACTTGATGATCCTCCACTCAGGATCTAGAGGGCTGCTGCATATTGTTGGTTCCTGGACTTGTACATACAAAGATAAGTTATTTGACTAGGTCTTAAAGGGTAGATAAGGGACATAATTTGGATCCCTTTCATGCTTTCCCTGGCTTTATACAGCTTTAACCAACATGAGTTTTTCCACTATTATATTTTTTGTTTATCTGATCAGCCTAACTGTATTTCAGCTCAGCACAAGCCTTTAGCTTTCTTTTTTTCTCCTTGGAGCTCCAGAATTCTGGCAGAGGAGGTAGAAAAGGTATGTCAAACTGCCAGGGCTATTAAACCAACCCAACAATTGGTCACTCTTTTGATTACTAGGGTCTTATGCCTTTTATTGCTGTCAGGGCTGGAAGAGTTTGCTGTAAGTAATGTGCAGTAGTATTGTAGTAACTATTTCCCTGGGTTAGTGTTTATTGCTAAAGTTTGAAGGCTGACTGAAGTTTAGAGATCATTTTCCATGGCACTACTGTTGCTGGAAAAAAATAACTGATATGTACATTTTAAACCTAAATCAAAGTCCAAATTGTGTTAACTTGGATTCCAGTAGTGAGCTGTTAAAAGGAAATCAGTATAAAATGCTTCTTGAATTTATAGCTTTTAGTTGAAAGCCCACAAATTGAGAAGCTTCTGACAGTGGGTTTTGTGTTCAGATAAGTTCAGATAATATAATGGTTAAACATGGGCTTTACTTCCTTCTCTGATGAACATCATGCTTATAAGACTAGAAGCTACTGCACACTTGGTCCCCCGTATCAGTGGGCTCCTCACCCATGGCCTCCACGTGTCTTCCTATAACCTACTGCAGATAAAACTATTTAGAGGAGAAAAATCGCATCTGTACTGGACATGTACAGACTTATTTTCTTACTGCTCTGTAAACAATACAGAATGCTATTAAGATTCTCACTGTGTTAGGAATTAAAAGCATAAGAGATGATTTAAAGTGTATGGGAGGATTGCGGAGTTCGTATGTAAATACTGTGTCATTTATAAAAGGAACTTGAGCACCTGTGGATTTTGGTATTCAAGGGGAAGGATTCTAGGGCCCAACTCCCTGAAAAAACTAGAGGATGATGGTATGTTCAGTGTCAGGCAAAGAAGGTATGTTTTTATCTTGAATGCCCGAAGGGTTAGCCTAGTTTGATAAGGGTAACACATCACCAGCATGTTTTTCATGTTTCTCCTTCTTCTCTTCCTTTTGATGATTGTTGTAGGAATGTCTGCATGTGTGTGTCTGTTTGAGTGTGTATATTGGTTCATTATATTTGGAAGATAATGCCTTCTCATGGAAATGAGGGAGGTTGTACTGGGTAGGCCAAGATAATACCTGAGACAAGGCTCTCAGATTGGGTGAATTTTTACCAAAGGTTCATTTGTACTCTTACTACCTACATCACAACTCTTATGAAAGTAACACCTCAATTCCAGGCTTCCTTTGAAATTTGATAAATAGAAAAAAAAACCCAGCCAGATAGCCAAAACCACCTTTCCCCCTAAATAGTACAGAAACCCGTAGTTTGATTTTTTTTTTTTAAGTAAAACCCATGACTCTTCTCAGCTTTATTTTCTTTCTGTTGTCCTGCGGAATTGTCAGCTGCTCAGCCAACATGCCTTACCCTAATAAGCAATTTTGTGCCTCATGTTACATTTCTGCACATTGATTCTCTCACAGCAGTTGTCCTGTTGTCATGCAGTGGAAGCTCTGGGAGTGTGTGAAGAAAGGAGAGAAAACTCCATGCCCCAAAGACCAGGTTTCAACTGGCTTTCTTGAGAAGTTTTAAGTATCACCTAGGATGACATAATTACAGTCTTTATTGTTAATATGACAGTCACCTAGTTAATAATTTGACAATATAATTACATTCTCTTTGCATTATTCCAATGGAGCAGCTTAAATGATTCATAAACATTACTCCATTCTATATCTCTTCGTGGAGGGACTGGGATTGTAAAGATGCAAACAGTGGGATGTAGAGAGACCACTGGATAGCTCTAGGGTCTTTCACAAAATCAGTCTGAGCAGGGATCTACAAACTTTTTAGTAAGAAGCCAAATAGTAGATAAATGTGGCCCGTCACAGGTGTTCAACTCTGCCGTAGACCTTACATTACATATATGGACGAGTATTGCTCTACTCCAACAAGAAGTCACTTACGGTCCCTGAAATTTGAATTTCATATGACTTTCATATGTCATGAAATGTTATTTTTTCCCCAACCATTTACAAATGTGAAAGCTGTTTGTAGCTTGTGGGCCATATAAAAGCAGGTGGTGAGCTCAATTTGGCTTGTGGGTCGTAGTTTGGTCTAGAGTAGACTGCAGTGCTCTTTCTTTGGCATTCTCCCAGTCGTCAGCTGTTTGTGAATTCTTCTAGAACACTAGAGGGCAGCTAAGCAATGTCCTCTGGAGTGTTCTCTAAGATCTTCCTCTCTGAAATGTATCAGGATTACTTTTAATTACTTGTTTATTGCATTTATTAATTCACTATTGAAACAGGCAGGAGCCAAGGAACCGAGCCTTTCTAAGATCCATGGCCCACAGTCAGCTGAAAGCCCCACAGTTGTGTCCTAGAACAGAACCCACCTGTCCAGCACAGAGCATGGAGCAGAGCAGGAACGCAGTCAATACAAGTGACGGTTCCATCCCTCACGTGTACCAAGTCCCTTGTCTCATTAGTGTAGATGGGTTATGCCTGAATATCTATTTTTAACCACAACTAGAGCACAAAGGAAGCATCTTGGGAGATAAAGGAAATCCAATTGATTGATTGATTGATTGATACTGGGATTGGACCTAGGGCCTTTCACTGAGCCACACTCCCATTTTTTTTTTTAATTTAAATTTGGAACCAGTCTTGCTGAGTTGTCCAAGCTGGGTTCTAATTTGCAGTCTTCTGACTTAGCCTCCCAGAGTGCTAACGCGATCCAATTTTAAATATTGATTGTAAGCACAGTCCTCAGTCCTTTAAGTTCTTATATATGGTGAACAAATTCTTTTTGGGGATTGTTTTGAATCTAGTCAAGTTTATATTCAGTCAGTGTTCTCAAGCTCATTGTGCCCTAATTCTCAGGAGTGTCTGCCAAATGGCTGGCAGGATCTTCAGACAGAAAGTGGGTCCCCTTGTGCACAAAGGCATATGTAAAACAGAACTGTTTTGATGTGTGGGGAGTAGGGTCTTTAACTTCTGGTGGAAAGAAACTATTGGAGCACTGTTTTACAGAGGGAGCTCCATAACCCTAGCTAAAGTCATTTGGTTGACACCTGTTTGTTGCCCAGAGACAGCAGAGTGAAGTAAAAGAGCAGAGCTAAAGCGAGGTGGGGTTTGTGTGACCCTGGGGAGGTCGCTGAACCTCTCTTGGCTTTCAGTGCCTTGTCTGCAAGATGCAGAATTAGATAACACAATCTATATTTTTCCTTTAGTGCTTTGTTTTCCCTTCAAATGGAGAAATTTTTTTCTTCCATTCAGAGGAAGTGTTTTTTAAATGTAGCAGATGGAAAGTGTTGGTTAGAAGAAAGCTATTTATCCAATTCTCTGTGGTTCCTGTATGAGTACCAAGCGCTTTCCGCAGTAGCTCACACACTGTGAAGGTGCTGGCTGTCAGACCCCAATGGGAAGTGCTCAAGCTCAGTGACACGGGCTCCATTCAAGGCACCTGGGAAACTCCTTGCTGGGTCCTCAGCCTTGCTCAACTTTCTCATGGACCATGCTTTGGGGAGCTCAGAGCAGGATACCAAATTTCCCAGTAGTGTTTTCAAAAGAAAATAATAAAAAGCCTTAAGGGCTTTAAAACTGAGATGTAAATGTGCATTTCAGCCTTTAAAGTGACAGTGAACTGAAACAAAATAGAAAATAATTTTTTGGGTTCTAGGTGACACCCCGTGACAACTTTGATATAAAATATTTTAAAAATGAATCTTAAGTTGAAGATCTGCAGCTGATGCTGATTTCTCTGTTGTTGATAAAGACCACTTAGACCAAATCCCAAGCAGGTTCTCTACCTACATGTGGGTATTTTGGGGGAACAGCTCAGCTGTTCTGATTTTTCCCTGTGTGTATGGTAAGTCTTAAGAGATCGTTAGGTCTGAAAAGGGACTTAGTTGAGAAGGCTTAGTTGGGACAGACAGGCCCTTAGAACTTAGGCTTCATCTCTTGGCAGAAGGCTTCAGAGCCCTCTGTGGCTTTTGTTAAGCTCCAGCTTTCTCTCAGCTGTCATTCCAGGTGATACTTCTAACTTGAACAAATGCAAATCTGCTGAGTACCTACTTCCAAGAAATGAAAGGTATTTTGATTTCTTTAAAGAAAACTTTCCTTCCCAAATGCAGCAGACAGCTGTTACAGCCATAGAGCCATACTCTGGAACACCAGACTGAACTCCACAGAAGGACTGATGGGGCAGATGGCCCAGTTCCCTGACTTGCAAAGTTGTTGAGGAGTGAGGTTTCATAATGGGAGCCCACTTTCACATCCTCCCCTCTTCTTGATGACACCTTCTCCCCTACAACATCCACCTTCCCTCCAACAGAGAGGAAAACAGGCCCACGAGGTCTCTGTTGTAGTGTTGACTTGAATCTGAGTTTTGCCCACTATAACAGGCAGCCCATTTGTTCCTCACACATGGGTTTTAAACTAAGTTTAGCAGTATAGTTGCTTTGGAAGAATTGCCCTCTGTCTTCCCGCTGAAATTAGTTTATCCAACTTAATTAGATCAACAATTGCAGCCAGGGCCCTGGCTCATTCATTACTCTAATTGCCGATGTAAGATGTGCGACCGATACGAGTTCTATTAGGCACATTAATTTTCATGTGGCCAAACAGGTGTTTCATAGGGGATTTAATGCCCTCTCCCTAGACTTCAGCAACAGATGTTAGATAATTTTTTTTAATGTTCTCTTTTCCTGTTTGGCTTCTGAGTGAGGCAAATATTGTGAAATGTATGAACCCTGTTCTGTAAAGCTAAAATCTGGAGCCAGATAATGTGCAGGCAGGCACATGCTTAAAACCCTAAGGCCTTGCACCTGTAGAGGATGAATCTGCCCAAATCATTTATTGGCTGAGAATTCTGGGTATTCCTGTAGGGTCAGACATGGGATCATTTGTTCTTTGGTTCTTAACACACCTCTTTCCTCAGAAAGACATTTGCCCAGTGAAATGCTGATCTCTGCTGTTGGAAAGTTCCATCCAGCTGTGATTCTTAAAGCACCACTTTGTTTCAGCATAAAGGTTGTTAGCTACAAAACTTCCCCTGGGCGGCTCTGACATGGAGGCTATGTCTGCATATGCAGCTTGAGCTTGTCCAGTAGAACCACAGGGTTCTTCTGGCTGATCCCTCTGTGACCTCTAATCCCAGTCAGCTCACACTGAGCCAGTATCTCAGAGGAGGCATTGTCCAGGTCAAAGCCAGGGTCCTTTTGTAGATGTAGGAACAAGAACTCTATTTCTTCAAAACACCCTGAATACATGTCAGCTAGTTGATCTTGGAAATGTTTTCTTCTTTGTGTTCATTTAGTTGTGCTTCTCTCACTGATTGCTGAGAATCCAGATTTAAAATGGGTTAGATTTTTTGGATAGGTTGGTAGAAGGTTATTATTTTAAAACATTTTAAAGAAAAGAGTTTATAGAGTCAAATGTTACAAGTTTGTCTCTATAATTAAGACTTTTCCACAGTGACAAATCTTAAGAGTAGAGTTAGTACTAACAACTCAGGCAGAGCAGAAAATAGATTCCAGCTAAGCACTAGTTTTGTCCTCTACTGAGACCTTTTCTGGAAATTATCTCTCAAGGCAGTTACCCGAGAGAAGAGCCAAACCCCAGCTGATTTCCCTGCCAGGGACACGATCTGCTATTATTTGATCTGAAAGCTCAATAGCTTTGTATGTGTGTGTGTGCGTGCACGTGTGTGTGTTGGGAATATGCAGTGAATATGCCTTGACTATTACTGTCTCTGATTTCAGTCTATGTAAATGTTTAATGAAATGTATAGAATGCTGTCTCTAATGTGACCCTCTCTTCTTACTAGATTCTCCTATTAACCCGCTTCTATGAGACCATCTTATTTCTTGCAGATGAATGATGCTATGGGATTTGAATTGCCCTGGGTGTATTTTGTCAGTCTCGTCATCTTTGGGTCATTTTTCGTACTAAATCTTGTACTTGGTGTATTGAGCGGGTAAGCTACACCTCTTTCATCTTGAAAGCAGAGTCCTGGGGACAGTTGCCAAGACCACACAGGCTTCGCTAGAGGGGGCTGCGGGGTGAGTGCCAGATGCTTTCCTTTCTGCTGAGGCTTCCCAAATCAAGCTGTTTCCTGGAACCTCACCCGCCTTCATGAAACAAAGCTATAGAATGATTATTGACCAGAAATTCGTCAGCATTGTTGCTTGGGATTTAAATAGTTTGCATTGCGTGCCCTTTTGTCTGTCCTAAAATGAGATACATTTATAATTGTTTCTGTGGTCTGAATCCAAATTTAATGTGTGCTGATTGGTACAAAACTATAGCTAAATGAGCAGGTTGGGCCAATTTTTAGTAGGCCCCATTAAACAACAGAATCTTCCCTTATTTAAAAAAAAAATGGAAGAACCTGGTCCAGTTCCGGTCCTAGGAGCATTAACCTTCAGGCAAGGCACTGAGTGGTCTGCAGCTGCACTGGGCTCTGCTCTTTGTAAACGAGTAACTGATAACTGATCTCCTTACATTTTACAGGTAAATGATGCGATAGGATGGGAATGGCCATGGGTGTATTTTGTTAGTCTGATCATCCTTGGCTCATTTTTCGTCCTTAACCTGGTTCTTGGTGTCCTTAGTGGGTAAGCAGTTGGATCCATGTTGCACACTCTCCTGCTGCCATGTGTGAGGCAGCCCTGCGTGTCTCCCACTGCTCTCTGGTGGCTTTTCTGCATGCTTTTGGACTCTGATGTCCCCTCAATGTGTTGCTTCTGGATTGAACTGTGATTCTTTCTGCCTGTTATTTGTCTGTGAGATTCTGTGTTTCTGATGCTTGCCAAACGCTGTTAATGAAAATGTTTCCCAGAAGCACTAGTACTGAATGCAGAGAGATGAACCACAAGTAAGTAAAAGGCTTCCTAGGAAGGGGCCTTCATCTTTCTAGGGTGGGAGAGGTTGTCTTTTCATTAGTTCATAATCTAACTCTTTTGATCACCCTCGGGCCATTGTACTTAGAGTGCTTCATATTTTGTTATGAAGGAAAAAAAAATCTAGATTAGCATATAAATACTGAAAAGTTTGAGCCTTATTTCCTCAGGTTGAGATCCTTTATTGCTTTGGGGGTTTACTGTTCTCATTGTGAGAATTGTCCCTATAATTCAGTTTTAATCATCCATACCTTGCAGAACCTTTTCTTAACGCAGAATGGTGATCAGCTTTTGCACGTACACATACATTTCTGTGGCCTTATCAAGTGGTTGCCTTCTCTCACCCACACAGCATGCAGCTGGGTGGTGATGTTACACTGGAGGAGGATGTGCCTGGAGGCGTCCATCAGCCTTCCCCCAGCCCTTGTCACTGCTCTCAGCACAGACATTCTCAGGAAATAATGTTGCTGGACCTGATTCCGAGCAAGTTTATCTACTGCTTACTAGCTCCGTCTGCTCTTTCCGAGACTGTGTCTCAGGGAAGTGATGTCTTTATGTATGCCAAATTAGTGAAGAGATCTTAATTGCCTTTTTTTGGTTTGTTTTTTCTTTTTTGTTGTTTGAAGCACTGCTGAGTTGTCTCTCTTGGCTTTCATTTACTCATTTTCCTTCAACTTGCCTTTTCCAGGGCAATGCCTTGTAAATCCCCATGATTGAGTTTGGTCAGTTCCATACAATGGCTATGCAGTGTCACCTGAGCCCACTGTTTAGAAATGGCTCAGGAAACATTTTCCTCTCCACCTCCAGCAAGAGGCATCAGGCCAGGACTGAGCTGATGTTGGCAGTAGGGTGGGGGTCTGTGACAGCATTCCTCCTCCCCTGCCTGAGCTTCCTTCTGCAGGTTATGTTCTTTTGCTGCAAACCTTAAAAGACCTTTCTCCTAATGAGGTTCTGTGGCCTGAGGTTAGGCTTGGGACGGGTGACAGTGGCAATTATCCCTGGAGAAACTTTGCCATATGAACTGCCCATACAAGGTTAACAGCAGTTCTGTTGTGAATTCCTTGGCGCCCCATGTCTCCTAAATCCAACTAAACTGACGGAGGCCATGGAAACCACTAATTTTAACAGTGCTGGTGACATGCCTTATCTTTTAGCTTCCCTGGGCAAGAACCATTGCCCCAGCATAATGAAGCAGAGTTCAGAGCCAAATCATGAGATGCTTTTAAAAAACGAGAAAAAATGGGAGGGGCTCCCCATTATAATAATGAGAGTTCAACATGCCACCCCTTACCAGGCACCCATAGCTGGGTTTAAAGAAAACACACATCTTCATAGAAAAACCAGTTTTCTGAAATTTATCTTGAGGGAAAAGTAAAATTTTCAAAGACAGTGGTTTTTTTTTTTTTTTTACATCCAAAGAAAACCATTAAGTAGAATGTAAATGATACATAAATTTAAAACAGGAAACACAAGACTTCCCAGACATTTTAACTGTCAGTCCACATTGTGCTCAGAGTTCTGGGGGCTACATACTGCCCTGCTTCCTGCAAAGAGGTAGGAACTTCGCTAGGAAATGCTGACAGGCACTTTGGGTGAAGTAGGAACTGTGTCTGCAAAGCAGAGCCTCTCAGTCTTGTTGGCTTATCTGGCCAGTGTTCCCTGAGTTTCTGTTGAGGACAGATCTCGGCCAGAGGCCAGGGGTACTAGGATGGCTGAGACAGACAGAGAGAGAGAGAGAGAGACAGAGACAAAGAAAGGCCTCATTCTCCAGCCTTCGTCGTCTGGTGGTAGACAACGCATAAGCAGCACAGGATGCCAAGTGCAGAGCAGGGGCTTTATGAGATGCATCTCTAGAGAGGAGGAGGCACCGGTGGGGCAAACTTGGAAGTGGTGACAGGTTTCCACAACTTCTGCCAGTGCCCTATAGTCTTCTGTCCAACTATGCCCCTCTTGCTTTTTTGTTTGTACTTTTTATATTAAGGTAAAATTTGAGACTTTTATTTTCATTTTAAGATCCGTTGTAAACTTTTAAGGGCACACTAGAGGTGTAACAAAACCAGTACATAAACGTCAAAAAGAAGACAGTTTCTGTTGTTTAGTCCCCAAGGGATTGTCAGACCAACACAAATGTAATTCTAAAAGAACTCAATTAAAAGACTCTCAGACATTTCAGTTATGACTATACATGCTGTGGTCTTCGGGTGAAGAAACGTTAGACCTTCCTATTTTTAAAGCATTTGTTTATGCTCTTTGGTGCCTTCCTTTTCCATGTGGCCATGCAATCCTGTTGTAGTCTTGTACTAACTGTAATATATACAGTTGATTTGGTGTTATGTATTTTTAAGGCATTATAAAACCAATGGTCTGGGGAAAAGTCTTTAGTTTTCTAACAGGCCTTTTTCCCCTCAAGGTGAGAATCAAGTGTGTGAACCGGGTGCCCTCTGTCACCTTGTCTCAGCAGAGATAGGCTCTTGGGCCTTGATGACGGTGCTCTGTGGGAGGAGCTAAGGCAGTCTGTAACTGGTATTGCCATTTAGCATTAAGTCTCTTGAAGAGACAGTCCTGGGATAGCTAAGGAAGTGAAAAAAATGTGTTGTTTTAGGTCTACAGTCCAAAAGAATTATGTGTATCTCATCTTCTTGTGCTGGCTTGTAGAAGTTTGGTGATTTTTCACTTTTAAAACTGCTCCTATCTCTTTTGAGGTTTTCCTTAGTACATGAGGGAAAGAGAGTACATCCCATTTCAGAATGTTGTCTCTAGACTTGCTTCCAGATTCCCAGGGGGGTGGAATGGTGTTGAGGGGCAATGGGAGGACTGGCAGTGAGCTGGCTTCTTCACTTAAGGGCCCACTTGCCACTGACTGGGGCAGTGATGTCTGAGCTTCCAAAACGGGGAACCCCCTGGGCTCCTTAGATGGTGCTGAGATGCTCCAAGAAGGTGAAGAGCTGAGCTATGTCTTACCAGTGTCACCATTCATTCGGGGACTCCTATAGTCACCCTGAACCTCAGACTCCCCATCCTGGAACTGAAAATAAACCTGTCTTGCCCTCTTCCTCACAGGGTGGTTTTAAATCAGCTAATGAATATAAAATTGCTTTGAGAACATACAAATATGTCAAGAATTTTATTCATTTAGTATAGCCTTATCTTAATCAAAGATGTTTCTCTTTTGTCCTCTCTGAGTGAAGTCGAAACACTCAGATAAGGCTTTGGAAATTCTGAGATGTCACATTTTCTGGATTCCCCAGAAAATGGCCAAGAAGAATATGCCTCATACATACATTAATGCTGTAGTCTGCCACCCATGAGTGGCCAGGGGAGGTGTAGATGCTCCTTATCTACTGTATCATATTATGCAGATCTAAATCATTGCTATAAAGTGATCTCTTACAAGGCATACTTTTAGATATAAATATAGGAAAATGGTATTTCTGGAACGTAGTGTTTAAGTATAACCAGCTTTGGAACCCAATAACCAAAACTGAGTCTTTGCTCTATATGTTAGCTGTTGAGAGTTTGGAAGCAAATACCTACATCTTTGAGCCTTCCTTTCCTCACCTGTAAAACTGAGCTAGTAACAATGCCAACCTTAGGGCATCCAGTGAGGACTGGGTGAGCTGAAGAATGTGGAGTGTTTGGTCCTTGTTAAGATGGCTGCAGTTAGACTGCATATTAGGTTTGATGCAAATGAAGAACCTAATCACTTCAGCCCTTTCAAACTTATTAGTAGTAGTTAGCCGAGATGTTCTGCAGTGGTGAAAAGTCAAAGTTACTTCTTTCCCAGGATCTCTTCTTGTGCTGGCTTGTTAGAAGTTTGGTGATTTTTCACTTTTAAAAGTGTTCATTTAGCTCCTATCTCTTTTGAGGTTTTCCTTAGTACATGAGGACAAGAGAGCATATTGCCATTTCAGAATGTTGTCTGTAGACTCGCTATACCACTGAGTTATAGTCATAACCCCTGTAGTATTTTATTACATAAGTGTAGATAAATAGCATGAGGTGAAAATTACCAAAGGATATTACTACATAAACCACCTCTTGGGTATGTTTTAAGAAATAGATTAAAATGATGTATAATTCATCTATGAATTCAAAGCTTTTGTCAATGTCTTACAATAATATTTTGCATCCTTTCTGAAGCAGGCTTCTTATGTTCAATGATAAATGTTCTTAATAAACTACGTTTTCTGACATAAAACTGAATGTAAGCCCAACTCATGTCTCTAAATGCAGAATCATTCAGCTCTAAGTTAATTTTTCTTTTTGTGTGTTCGAGGTGAGAGGTTCCATTTAAAAAATCACAGTTCATTTCTGTGTTACTGGAGGTTTGCTAAAATTTAGTGTTTTCAGGGAAAACAGATGAAGTAAAGCATAACAGAAAAGCAAGGGCGATTTTCAGATAAGTCCATCTGTCTTGAGTTTGATCTCTTTTAAAAATAAAATTTTATAAACTAAAAATATGCATACCACACAATTTATAAACTTAACATGGAATGTTTGGTAGACCCAGAAATTGACAGTTGTGTAGCCACAGCCACAGTCACATTTAGGTTATAATGGCTACCTACTTTTCATGATGTCCAACTCAGTCTTCCCTAAGTCTAGGCTGGGTTTCACTTCTACAAGCTACTTTGGATATAGCAGATACCAAGGACCTGAACAGACTCAGGCACGGCTACTAGTATGAATCCTTGGCTTTCTAAAATAAGGGTTAT